GGTGCCAAAACCCAGCTTGCAATGTTGGATGTGCTGACCACGCAGAGATGGCCGCAGTGCACAGGGAGCATGCAGCAGCGAAAGAAGTGCAGATGCCAGGCTTTAGGACCAGGCCAAATGCCAAACCTGGGTGCTGGAGAGGCTGGTCAGGGCTACTGCTGTCAGGAGAGGCGCAGACAGCAGCTCTGAGCCTGCTGCCAGCCTTACAAGGAAGCTTGACTGACATCAGCTGAGCCATCCTAGACTGATTGGGCCTCTCCGGTTCTGGGGCAGCCGGCACAGTGATTTAGTGGTCATTAAAATTGATTCAGAATTTGAAAACGTGTAATTATTCGTGTCATAAATCATGACACACTGCTCTCTTCTACATAAGCTGCCTTTATAGGTTGAAAGTAACAGTATCTGTATTGTTATCTGCAATACTGGCCCTGGCCCTCAAAGCAGCCATGCTCTGTTGGCTGCCTTGATTGACAGCTGTGGTAAAGTTTGCTGTAAAGTCAAACTTTTGAACTTTACAACATCCAAATGTTCAGATAATTAAAAACAAAAATACAACCCTTTGAACCTAAACTTTCATAAAGTGTCAAAATCAATCCGCCACATATTAAAATCTCACCTCTCTTGACCATTTCTTCTTTTTGGTCCAGCTCTTCATGTTCCTCGTGCTTGAGTCTACTGTAGCAGTGGTAATCATTTTCAGAGACCATGACATCTATTTTCTCTAAGAGATCTATTATCTCGTTGGCATCCATCATGCCTCTTGTGCACGTGTGGCATCTTTTTTCACTAAATCTACTGTTAGCTTTCAGGTCTGCCAGTGCACTTTCATATTTTTCACCTGGCCACCGAGTCACAACAGTCATTACATAAGGAAGAGATCCTTTCCCAAAAGCTTTTTCAAGCCACTGAACCCCTGAGGTGTAATGGCTGCTATGCCGACCATATGGTACCAGTAAGAGAAAGGCATGAATTCCCTGGTTTAAAGGAATTTTGTCAATATTTTGCAGACCAAGAATGTTGATGATCGAGATGTGCCGGCCACACAAATCATATAGTTTGGATGAAAATTGTTCAGCATTTCTTTCTTCATCATGGTCAAATAAAATGTTTCTCGGTCCAAAGTCAATGGCATTTCGCTCACCGGTTAGCACAAACGTGAGGTCAGGCAGCACTGAAACAAACAAAAGAAGAACTTACACTGCAGAATTAAAATGACACTATCAGAGAAAAACAATTGTTATATTATTACAAATATTACCTTTGTCACTAACTGCAGTTGATGCAGACATAGTTTCTCTCTGTCTTCTTGTAGTTTTATTGCTCACTGAGTAGCAAACTTCATTACTGGGATTCCAACTAAAAGAGTGGTCATACCTGAAACCACGTAAAGAGCAACCATGCACCAATACGCCATGTCAGAATACACTTGCACTACTGCAGTATTACATATAGAGCTAGATAAAACAAGCATATGGTACCAAAAGGAAGGAGGCAGAAAAAAAATATACAACAAGGCAGAAAAAAAATATACAACAAATTCTCACTTGGATGAAAAACATAAAATCTGTTTGGCAAACCTTTCATATTATGTTAAAATGCTAGACTACCTTTGTTATCTTTCACAGATGTAGTTCAATTGGTTTTGGATTATTTTCCACCTCCAGGTGCTGCATTATCTTTATTCTCTTCCATCCAGCGGCTTTATTACCATTACAGTCACAGGACAAAGTAATTTAAAAAGAAAGAAAGAAAAAAAGATGAAATCACATAGAAAGATTTTTTTGTAAAATGATTAAAATGCAAACATATTTTTGTTTGTTTGTTTTACAAATTAAGAACTTTATTAAAAGTGAACTCTTGCAAGTATAGTAGTTTGCAAACATGCCAACTTTTCTCACTTCTTAGGATGACCCAATTGTGCAACAGACATTTACTGGTAAATTTTAAAGATTCACTGTCTCTTATCGTGGCTATAAAAGATGAATAAAGGTGATAAGAATAAAGTTTTTTAATCTTTATACCATAATAACAAACTGATGGGGGAAGTATCTGTGTGTCAGTAGAAAAAATTCTCTATTCTTCCTGTTGCTATGCAATAACAAATTAAATGGACTGAACAAAGTCCATTTTTAGTGCCTCTCTCTTATGACATGTCTGCAATGAAACGCAGAGACAGTTTCTCAGCAAGCCTAACTACCAGTCAAGAAGTTCTTGAAGCCTTGATGACTTAAAAATGCACAGAGCAAAATTATTTGTTTTGATTAGTTTGTTTGTTGCACATTCTCTGATTTTCCAGCTGACTAAGTTTTCAGTCTCTCATAAAGGTTTAATAAAAATGATCATGTTCTTGTCAGCATGACACTCTTCTACGGCTACCATTACAATGACAGAAATTTGTTGCTTGATCAACTCACCATTTCTGTGTAGATACGGCTGCCCTGTCAGAAATCCTCCTAGTACCCCTGAGATATTTAGAGTAAGATCAGAGGATGATTATATGTCGCACTATATTTCTGCTTCTGACCAATCCCTCCCACAAAGGTAAAAAGAGAAAAAAATGTGGCGCTTTGAAACCTTATCACTTACGGGAAAATTTTGGGTTGGGCTTACTGGTAATGATACTGGTAATGAAACTGTTAGCACTGCCCTGTCATGGAGTGAAGTGTACCCAGATGTAGACTTAGATAAGAACTAACACAAAATAAAACACACCTTTATTCCAATTGCGTTAGCAAATATAAATTACAGTAAATGACAGAAGCTGAACAAGTCAAAATGTAGTATGGGAAACCACAAGGGCTGAGAACCAGTACAAACAGTACAACACAGAAAGAAAAACAAGGTTAGAATATGAAAATCTAAAGTACAAGAATAAAGAACAGATTATGCAAAAAATATAATAATGAGCAAAATTCAACTACTGAACTCAAAGCTTGGAGTCAAAGCAGATTAATACATGGCAACTTAAAAAAACAAAATAAATGCAGTGAGGTCATAACATTTCTTCATTCATTTGATAAATTTTTTGGCTTTTATGCCAAGTAAAAGCTTTTCTACACCCACGTACTAATAAATTTATTTTACCCTGATCAAAGTATTCTGTTGTAAAGATTACAAATAACTGTATTTTTATCAGCATGCTTTTATACAGCCAACATATTATACAGAATAAAATTACTAAATGAACTTTGACACACCATGTGTTGAGCAGTCAGATCATGTTACATGAATGATGATTTAAGATTATGATGTTATTATGATGTCCATGTAGTGCAGACAGACAGTACAAATGGTATGTTTTATTCAGATTCAGTTTATCTTGTCTAATAGGTAAATAGTGAAGGAAGGCATTTTTGTTTGTTTGTGCATTTTGGGGGGATGAGGGTGAGAATCATCTCTGCTTCCCTTCTGTAAAAGTGGCTACACTCCACTGATACAATATATACAATGAATGGGTCAAAACATAAATGAATGCTGTTACCTTGTCAGCAGAGTCATGTCATGTAAGAAAAGAACCTTATAGGATCATTTTTATTTTTGATTGAAAATTATTAGGAAGATTTTATTTTAGCAGTTGATTACCTTTGTTATTTGTCATCAGTGAAACAGACTTGGCTTTATACTTTACATCTTTTCAAGATGCTATGCTATTACTATCATTGTTCTCTTCCATTGTTCACTTTTCTGCATTTCATTCTTACAGTAATGATGAAAAATAATTCTCTAAATGAAATATGCCACAAAGAATGTAACTGTAAAATGTAACCTAAAGGCCTGGTGACATTCACCATCTCTCGTAAAACTCAAGAGGTAAAAAGATTATTTTAGACATTTTTTCTGTGTGAATTTCAGGTGCCAGAAACTTAGTGACATAATGACAAAAGTAAAAAAGAAAGAAGACCTTTTTTTTTTTACTCAAACTCCTTTCTTTTAAAGCAAATGTAAGTATATCATGAGTATTCAGTGAATACCCTTTATGATTGTCTTCAGTCAGAGTAGGGTTTTTAGTTTGTTTAGTTTGTTTGTTTTTATTCAGTTCATTTTGATGCTAAGAAATCCAGTGGCAAACTGAAAGGGTGTAGCATGAAACTTTTATGGCACGTACAAATAATACAACAGTCAACACATAAGGAAAATTTAATCATCAATATTTTTAACCTCTGATTAAAATACAAAAAGAAAAGAAAAGAAGAAAAAAGAAAGAAGTCATAAATAGTTACAGCACTATAATTTTAGATGATCTTGGATTTTGGTTTGCTTGTGTTTAGAAATGGACTGCAGAGATCTTTATAGCTATTTGGTGCCCTCTAGTGAATGAAAACACTTGCCGATTCCTAGGATGATGATGATTAATGTTTTTAAGTGGTTTCGTGTTTTTCCTTTAACATAAAAACAAACATAAGCACTTGAAAGCTGTTTTAAGTTCAGTGAGTTATATGGGGGGCGCAAAAAGGTGATATTTATCAGACGCTCATGTGTCCCACCCTGGGCAGGCCTAGGACACGCTGGAGAGATATCTCTCACCTGGCCTGGGATCGCCTTGGTGTTCCCTCAGACAAGCTTGGTGTTCCAAGTGTGGCGAGACGAGGATGGGATATAAAGTAAATACTCTTTGCAGTTTTAAAAAGACAACGCCACCCTGGGAATTTCACCCAGAGAATACTGAAAGTAACACTAAATCGCCAAAAAGGCACTTAGGTTCGCTATACTCAGTCCAGAGACGAGGTTCAATGATCAACAAATTCACAATTTATTAATAATTATTTAAAACACCATATAAAAGCACAATCATAAATATTCAAGTACAAATACCTGTTAGCAGTCGGACGTACCGCCCACGGTACATTGGATGGTTTAGGGGACTAATTGGACTGCTAAGGGGTTAAAAAGGTATTCAGAGCTGAGGCTTACCAGTGGAGGGGCAGGGATGCCACACACAAACTAAAGAAAGAAAACACACCCAAAACACAAGTGCAGCACACTATCACACACACTCACACTAATAAACTAAACAAGGCAGGTGTGTACACTCAAGGGATCCCACCACCAAGGCACCCTAGTCTCCTCCACGTCGGCACTCCGCACCTGAATAAAAAAACAAAGAAAATTTTAATATATTACAACAAACTAATGTGTAGCACCGGGGGATAACCCAACTGCAAGACCACACTGGTGATCTACAGCTAGAAAAAGGGCCTCCCACCAGTGGTGTAACAAAAATCCAAACTACAAATCAAAAGCAATAAAACAACATACAATCTGGAGAAAACTCTAAAATCTGGAGCAAACAGAATCGCCGTACTGCTCCAACTTGCCGTCACACGACGACAAGTTAACAGTCAATCAATATGCACGCCAGCTGACTCCGATAACCGGCATGTGTATGGCCGTTGTCCACGCCGACGTCCACTGTAAAAGCTGACAGCAGCAGGGAAAGAATTCTCACAACGGGAACAGACGGCAAAAGCACAGCAAGGCAAAACAGCAGCACTTCAGTTCACGTAGCTTGGCGCAAAACTAAGGCCCACACTTCCTGCGAAACATAATAAATAATTACTATAAAAGAGCAATAGAAGGCAGAGAGCGTAACAAAAGTTGATTACGTACCAAGTAAGCCGTGTCATAGAATGTAAGCCGAATAGCTCAGAGGAGGCTTCTATAGCTACGACCAGCCGCGATGGAGACTTTAGAGGCGTAACCCACAAACGATCTCTACCACACCGAGGAAGTCAGGTGACCAAAAAGGAGATCACAGGCAAGCGATGCAGAGACACTCAAATGGCCACTATTTATACCAGCGCCCCCTAATGGGCCAGGCTGAAAGTGGGTTGGACGAGGGATAACATTCATCCTGCCACACTTAAGGCCATGTGTACAAAGGGACCTGTGGTGAGAGATCTGATCTCCAGCACCACCCCTGATCCATCCACAACCGGAATGATGTGCTTGTAACGTAACTTATTCTTTGGTATTACACAGTTTCTCTTTGTTCACAGCCATTGACATGTCTGAAGAGGTTAACACGTGAGGAGCGGATCGAAATTGTGTTGATATCTGGTGAACGCAGTAACCGGGTCATTGCAGCAGATTTCAATGCAAGACACCCTACGAGACCACCCATCTCCCATGCTACAGTTAGCAAACTGCTTGCTAAGTTTCGGTGAAACTAGTTCAGTGTTGGATTTGCCAAAATGTGGACGCAAGAAAAACTGTCACTAATGAAGAAACATCAGTGGCTGTCCTAGCTTCATTCAGCAAGAGCCCACAGCGTAGCACTCGCCACCATGTCACTGGAGAGTGGCATTAGTCGAACATCCCTTCGGCGGATATTAGCTATCTCAAAGCAGATCGGATGACCCAGATCGGCCACAGAATTTGCAGAATGGGCAAAACAAAAATTGGAACAGGACCCTCAGTTCACGCAGAAGATTTTGTTCAGTGATGAGGCAAACTTTTATGTGAATGGTGAAGTTAACAAACAAAACCACCGCTATTGGTCTGACACTAACCCACATTGGATGGATCCCTCCAAGACTGTTGGAACAACAAAAGTGATGGTTTGGTGTGGTATATGGGGTACAACGATAGTGGGTCCATTCTTCATCAATGGAAACCTCAAGGCCACTGGATATTTGAAATTGCTACATGATGATGTGTTTCCCTCTTTATGCACTGAAGCTGGCACGTTCCCTGAGTTTTTCCAGCAAGATGGTGCACCACCACATTATGGGTGCCAGGTCCGAGCATTCCTAGATGAACAGTTTCCTGGAAAGTGGATTGGTCGTCGTGGGCCAGTTGAATGGCCCCCAAGGTCTCCCGATCTGACCCCCTTAGACTTTTATCTTTGGGGTCATCTGAAGGCAATTGTCTATGGTGTGAAGATACGAGATGTGCAGCACCTGAAACTACGGATACTGGATGCCTGTGCTGGCATTTCTCCTGCGGTGTTGCTATCAGTGTGTGAAGAGTGGGAGAAGAGGGTTGCATTGACAATCCAACACAATGGGCAGCACATTGAACACATTTTATAAGTGGTCAGAAACTTGTAAATAACTCATGAAAGAATAAAGTTACGTTGAAACCAAGCACACCATTGTTTTTCTTGTGACATTACCAATAAGTTTGATGTGTCACATGGCCCTCTTCCTATTGAAAAAACAAAAGTTGTATCCAAGATGGCCGACTTCTAAATGGCCACCATGGTCACCACCCATCTTGAGGAGTTTGCCCCCTCACATATACTAATGTGCCACAAACAGGACTTTAATATCACCAACCATTCCCATGTTATTACGGTGTATCCATATAAATGGCCCACCCTGTATATTGGTGCAAAGAGAGGGAAGGCAGTCACAACTGAGGGGACTGCACTACCAGAAGACAATCTTGCAGACATTGAGGACAGCTAAAATTACCTGGGACTCCCACAGGGTCAGCGTTCACCCCAAATCCAGCACTTTGAGATTGCACACTAAGCAAAAGGAAGGAGGCTGAGGACTGGTGAGAGTCAGACCCACAGGCCAGGAGGAGACAACAAACATCCATGAGTATATGAAGAAGTTCGCCACAACCGACCACGTGCTTAGTGAATACCTTAGATAGCAGACACACGAGAAAGAAGAGGAGCAAGAAGAGGAACCATCATAGAAAGGATCGGCCGGTATGTACCATTGGCAGATAGAGAAAGTGGCTGACGTACAGACATCCTACCAGTGGCTGGACAAAGCTGGACTGAAAGGCAGAACAAAGGCACTGATCAAGGGAGCACAGGAACAAGCTCTAAGGCTATGTTCACATTGCAGGTGAAAGCGCATCAAATCCGACTTCTTTGACCCTATGCGACCCATATCCGATCATGGTATGACATTGTGAACAGCACAAATCCGATATTTTCAAATCCGACCTGGGTCACTTTCGTATGTGGTACTGAATCCGATACATATCTAATGTTTTAGAAAGCGACTGCTGTTTGAATGGTCATGTCGCATTACATCCGTCACTGACACAAGACAGACGCCAATTATCAGCGCCCGAGAAGACATCGTGAACGCTTCCTGGCCATCCAGTGAAACTTTTGGGAAAACAGCGTTGGAGAAACGTGAACATTTTATTTGTACTGTATGATCTGCAGATTCTGTCAGAAATCTGCAACTATAATTTGAAGCACCGCTCCTCTCTAAAACAGCAATAAGGATAATTATTGGGCCACATGTAAATAACAAAATAACTTAAAGCAAAATTGGGAAACGTAAAGTCCAGAACATGTGTTTATATTAAGGGCCATCAGTCAAACAATACTGTTTGGTCTGGGTCTAAACAGAGCGCGTTGTGTGTGAAGTCTTCTTTTGCGCATGCGGGCCACTTTGAGTGTTCACACTAAAGCACGTTTGCTGTCACATTTTATTTGTAGTGTGAACAAGCAGACAAAAAAATCGGATTTGATCAAAAAATCGGAATTGAGCATTAAGACCTGCAGTGTGAACGTAGCCTAAGTACAAGATCAATAGAGCCTGGGGTCTACCACGCCAGGCAAGACCAAAAGAGCAGGCTGTGTAAAGATGCCCCTTTACACAATCTCCATTTCAAAGCAACAGAAAATAAAAAAAAATGTGAAAACTTTGCATGTTCAAACGACAAACTTTGCATGTTAAAAAACTTCCAAAAAATTTTAAAAAAGGGAGCAAAAGCTTGAATTTCCGCTTTTCTGTTTTACACCGAGACTTAACAGTCTCAACCAACTTTACAGATAATAATGAAGTGTTGAAGTATTAATGAATGGTCTAAAATGATGGTTTGGAGGAAGTTACCTCAGAAAGAAGAAAAAGTGTCCAAAAAAATCTGTGGTATTGATATTTATCTTAAGATTACCCTATAAAATAAGAAGTCATCTGTAAGTTTTTAATTAAATTGACTAAACAGATAGGCTACATAAAAACACCGTTGGGAGTTCGCCTTGTAATCGGAAGGCTGCCGGTTCGAGCCCCGGCTTGGACAGTCTCGGTCGTTGTGTCCTTGGGCAAGACACTTCACCCGTTGCCTACTGGTGGTGGTCAGAGGGCCCGTGGCGCCAGTGTCCGGCAGCCTCGCCTCTGTCAGTGCGCCCCAGGGTGGCTGTGGTTACAACGTAGCTTACCATCACCAGTGTGTGAATGTGTGTGTGAATGGGTGGATGACTGGATGTGTAAAGCGCTTTGGGGTCCTTAGGGACTAGTAAAGCGCTATACAAATACAGGCCATTTACCATTAATAACACGAGGTCAAATTCCACTTTTTTATTGTCATTGATTAACAATTCCACAAATAATAGAAACAACATTGTTTAAAAATATTCAATAGTTAAAATAAACTCAGATTTGAGTAAAAGCTAAAACATGCTGTGATGATTTAAATGAAGTTAAAGTTCGTATGTCAAATCAGAAACGTAAAGAAACATAAACATCAGAAAGATAAAATATTCATTTGTTACACCTTACACCTAAATAAAATTAGAATAGAACACACACATAAACACATTATCGAAAGAAATGTTTCATGAAGCTACAAAAAAGAAAAATATTGTAATTTCTCATTAAAAATAAAACAATAAACTATTCGTTAATGTTCACAACAATATATTTGGTTTTAATTCTCATTATATTCTCAAAATGATTGTTTCTCTCACGTGTGAGCATTTATGTGACCAAAGCAGGAATATATATACCATTCTGTCACCCACATGTAATGTTTAAATCACTAACATTATGTTTTAAAGTTTATTTGTGAGTAATCAAGGTAAAACAGCTCTTGTGATTTTCAGCAAACTAAAAATGTGTAAAACTGAAACTGTTCAGTTTGTACTGTACATTTCATCCAGACTTTGAATAGCCTCTTTTTTTTCGTGCATTTTCCATTCACTGGGAATCTCACCACGCTGTGTGAATTTTAAACCATGGTGGTTTTCGAGTTTCTCCTGAAACTGACACACAAACCATGTCCAATACTTGAGCTTAGACTCATCAGGGGTAATGCTCCAATTTTCATATGGTGGTCCAGCAGTTCTGTATTTTTTAAAAGGAATGGTATGATTTGAGTCATGGCAAGGGTAAAAACTTCCTTCACTTGCAACTTGGGTTGTACAAAAGTCGACACACAATATCTCAGTGTTTCTGTAGTGCCAACCATTGATCGCTTGAGATCGATGAAAGGGGACACTGTGATCTTCAGGACTGTGATCTTTTGGGTTTCTTTTGTCCTTAATCACATGATCTTCCATAGTGTTGGTACAAACAGCTGAACAGAACGGGCAGGTTTCCCAGCAGCAGTTACACAGCTGATCGATGAGGATTTGATCAGGTCTCAGTCTGAATTCCTTCATCTTATCCAGCGAAAGCTGGCTTATCGTCTTTGTGATGGACACAAGGCCTTTCTCAATCGTTTCTTGAAGGAAGTCAAAAATTTTTATGTCCTTGAAGTTTTGACAAGACATGGCATCAAGGGTCAGTTTATCACTGAGGAGACTAGAAAACTCCTTTGCCCACATGTCTGTGTCTCCTCTCTGGGTTTTGACTTTTTTTGTTGTGTCAAATAAAGCATGAATGACAAGTTTGTTGATGTCCTCCACATTTTTCCTGAGTATATTTAGTGCTTTATCTTTGTGCTCTCCAAGCATGTGTGTGTTTACTTCCGTTTTTCACAGATCATTTCTCCAAACACAACAGCAGATGAGTTTCCTTTGCAAAAGCTGCTGAAAATGTTGTAGTATTGTGTTTTCTTGCTTTCCAAGTAAGTGAGTGCATCATTGCTCGTTTTGTATTGTTTGTGAGACTGTGAAAGCCAACTGCAAGCAGTGTCAAATACATACAGTAACAGGTCAACTCTGAACTCCTTCTTGAAAGCACATTTCTTATTTGATTCAAACTCTGTCACTGTGTCCTGAACTGTTTTAGCCACTTCTTGTAAGTAAGTTGAACTGTAGCCTCTTGTTGCTACAGGCTTGCTCATAATGGCATCAAGAGACTGTTTTTCAATACTGTTTATGAGGGATCTTATCATTTCCTGGTCTTCATGCTCAAAAGGTCTCTTTAAGTAATGTATTATTGTTTTAGCACCAACTTCAAAAAATGTAGCCACTTGGCTGGCAAGCCCTTTTCTTGTTGTATCTTGGTGCTTGCCAAGGACAATATAATCAGAATAATTGCCAACCTCAGATATTTTTTTGTATCTGCCATTCTTTTTGCATTCAAATATGAGATTCCATTCAAAACCAAGGTCATTAAGGATATTTGCCTGATCGTCATCCAGCTTGATGTCCTGAATGGGTTGTGCATCTGCAGTTAACTCTTTTACCCAGTAATCCCAAACTGAGTTGAAACGTTTTTTAAGTTCCTCTTCATTTTTTGCTTTGTCTTTTAACTTATGAGCAAGCTTTTTACTCTTTTGCAGCAGCTTGTTCTCAAATTCGGTCTTCTTATCATCCAGCTTTTTACAAGCTTTCTTCTGCTGAATAACTTCATCCAGTTTTCTTTCCACTCCTCTCACCAGCTCCTCTTGGAACTCCTTTATTTTGTTTTCAAATCGGCCTCTCCACTGAACCAACATATCTTTGTCTCTGTCATCCTCAATGTACTTTGACATATCTTTTTCTACTTCTTTATATTTTTCACTCATCACTACGCTCAACCTTGTCAAGTTCTCCATTTTCAATTCTGGTGTGAAGCTGGTTTTCAATCACCAGCATGTTGCTCCTTAGGGCCCAGGTCCAGTTTCCATACTCAACCTCAAGTTTTCTGTAAACTGCAATTTCTAATGTGTTTTTTGAATCTGAAAACAAAGTGTTCATTCATCAGAACTTTACACAGGTCTTGTATCTTTCTGTTAAAATGTGAGAGAGTGATCCCAGGAGAGCATTTAGCCTTAGACAGGATGATGTTCTTCAGCTCTTGGATGCTCTCGCTGTAGCCTGGATTTGGAGGAGCCATCGGTGGACTTCCCTCCCATAGCTGAGCAAAGTATTTCACATCTTTTTGCACATCGAAGTCAATGATATCACTGAAGCACTCAGCATCACACAGCTCCTCTTTAGCAGCTAGTTGAGCCATCTGGTCCAGTTTTTCTTGCAGGCGTCTTTTCCCATCCATGTTTTTCTCAGTAGCTGCGATATCTGTCACATTCTGATGAACAAACACACAACTGGGAGAAAGTTTAACTTTCTTCATCCTCATGAAAGCCTGAACAACAATCTGCAGGACATCCTGCATCTCAGCTGGATTCTCACCAAAGATGTTGATCAGTGTCAAGCTTCCTAGGCCAACAACAAATGTCGCTAGTGCATTGTCGTGATGAAGAGTAGCATTTCCTGCCAGCTCAAGAGCCCGCAGTCCTTCAGTGTCCACCACTAGAAAATAGTCAAACTGGAAGTCTTTCTTGATTTCCTCTGACACTTTTGACCAGCTGCATGAAGGCACCTTTGGTGCACCTGCCTGCACTCACTGCAAACTGCAATCCAAACATGGCATTCAGCATTGTTGATTTTCCACTGCTTTGTACGCCCAAAACTGACAACACAAAAACTCTCTGGTCGCCTAGTTTCTTGATGACTTCATCTAAAAAACTAGAGATCCATGTTAGAGGCACATGACCTGCATCACCATCCATCAGCTCCACTGGGTGTCCTGAAATCATCAGATCTGCAGCCAACTTTGGATATTTAGACCAGGAAGTCAGTTTATTCTGTGTTTGTACTGCTCTATGGGCTTCATAGATCTGTCCCATTTCTCTGAAGATGTGCTCCAGGCCAAAGGTTGCAGACTGCAGTGTTTTGGATATTTGTTCAAGCTCTGTTTGTTTGCTTGCTAACAGATCAGATTTGTCGTGTTTCTTTTTCAGAGTCAAGAGCTCAGTCCACTTTTCATCATAGCTTTGGAGAATTGAAGAGAGATCATCTGTGGACAAGGCTGGACTGGGACAAAAAATCGGCCCGGGCATTTTGACTAGAGACCGGCCCACCAGGATAAAGATTGAAAATGTGACGTCATTCAGGGGTAAAACCGCAAAGGATTCTGGGAACTTGTGGCAAGAGGTACTAGCGCGCGCAGGCTTTCAATTGAACTCAGTTACACAGCGATAAAAAGAAACCCAAAAAATGGCAACAAGCTATTGTATTATTAACTGCAACAGCCGGTCGCATGACAGCCACGGGAAGCCGATCGTTTTTTTTTTTTATCGGATTACGTCGTTGAAGAGAAATTTTTTAAGCCATGTTTCCGAAGTAAGAGCCGACGGATGGTCTGGATATACCAAATATAACGTCTCAGCTCACATGTTAGTCTGCTCCAAGCATTCCCACAAAGGTCAGAGTTTTGTAGTAGTTAATACGTCATTTTTCTTAACATAATTGGTGATATAGGTTACAAACAAGTCTGGCGCTGAACAGAAATTGTCGCTATGCTCCTTTATTTATTGTGCATAAATAGTAAATTGTCCTGACACAATATTGCGTTTCGCTTCTGTTATTACCATGGTACATTGACAAAAACATATACTTTTATTCACAGGATAAAACAGTTGTTTTGTATCACTAATTTTCCAGTGTGATTACAACATACAATATTATTGTCACTGCTACATTTCTGTAATGCTATCAGAAATTATTTCCACTACTAATTAATTACCGTTGAGCTCAAAGGTTATATTAATAAACGGTTAACGAAAGTGTATTTATGACGACGATTTGTGAGACTGGTCAACTTACCTTTGTTCGTACGATGGTCTTTCACAGTGCATTTCAAGGTCCTGTACCCATCCGTCAGTAAACTGTACCTGGGCTTGTTGCAGTGACCTGAAGTTACTAAACTTCATGAGTGTATGCACTCACTCCAAGAACCGTATAATTATAAATCTGAGCGTGGTGAAAGTTGGGCAGCACGCTAACGTCTTTTGTCCACTCTGTGTGCTCGTAAGGGTCTAACCCTTTCACTCCTTTGATTTTTCCTCGTATCCTTTCTTTGTCTTTTCGTCGAGTCTGTCTTTGTACGGACCGGCATTGTTCTCCTTTTGTTTTGTACATTCCTTTTTTGTGCGGCAAAGAAAAAACAAGAAGGTATTGGAACCAGAGAATGAATGTTTTGCGGTGCTGCATATGCTTGCATTTGATGCGCTACTTGGATTGTTTTGCCACGAGTTCCCGGCATGCAATGCACGAAAATCACGAGATTGCTAAACAAGGGGGAGGGTGCATCCGGCCTGTAATTGGTCCAGCCCAGAGTCGATCATGACCAATTGGCCAATCCAACACCTTTCATTATATATACCCTTCCTAAAAAAAAAAAATAAAAAAAAATCCATCGGCCCATAAAAACAAAAAATCGCCAGCGGCCCACCGGCTATGCCTGTGGATAGGGCATCTATTAAGATCTGAGTCCATTTCAGGAAGTACTCCTTCTGTTTTGATGGCAAAGACAAGAGGCTTTCTGTGAATGACTTCATCAGTTCACTACATGAAGCTTTGCATTGATTTTGTCTTATTTTATTCAGTTGCTGTTGCTTATGACTTTTTTCCTTCTCAATGTTTCCTTTAAGGTGATACAGCTCTTTATTTATTTTACACCACTCATGCCACAGATCGCCTTGACAAGGTAGAAATGTATCTTTGTTCTTTGAAATTCCCATCCCTTGAAGCATTTTAACTGTTTTCAGTGCAGCAGACTTCCCTTTTTAACAGACTTCATCATCTTCATCCACTGTGACTCCAGGGACTTTGGCCATGAATTCAAGCTGGAAGGATCTATGAGGTTCATATAAAATCTTTCTGATAATTCCTTTCATGTCATGATCTGGCTGTGTGCCCGCAGGAATTGGACCCAAACGCAAACTCACTGGAGACAGGACTGAACTCAAAATGGCA